AAGATTAATTTGCCCTTCATGTTTAATGTTTGGACCTAATTAAGGAAACAAAGTATGTAAAATAGAAGATGCGGCATAAAAACTTCGATCTAAATTATCTGAAGCAAGAGATTAAAGTAGCTATTTAAAAAAAATATTTAAATAAATATAAATAAAATATCAGATTTATTATAATATGATAAAACTGAAAATGTATTACTTGATATTAGACATACAAAACTAGAATGTTAAGAAAAAAAATTCTAATAATGAAAGAAGTTGAAAATACATTTAATACAGTAATAAAATTATTAAAAAGTAGAAAATCCTAAGTAATTTAAGATTTAAATGATTATTTTAATAGTTAAATAGAAGATGTTTATTTAGAAGAATAAAAATGGTTATTTATACAAATAATAATAATATTTAATTATTTATTTATTTAAATATATAATAGGGTAGAAAAGTAAGATACTGGATAAGAATTAGCTTCCCTTTTAAAAGAAGAAAGCAATTTATAAATAATAAATAAAGCACATTTAATTATTAATGGTATTGAGAGTTTAAAATAATAATAGACTTATAAAAACATAAAGGTATTAAATACACTTGATACTAACTTTAGAGTACCTAAAATAGATTTATCCCTTAGTGAATTCTGTAGAGAATTAGAAAAATTTGTTAATAAAGGGGAAATTATTAATATTTAATATAAATGTTGAAATTTTTATATATAAATAAAATTAAAATATTAATTTAAAATAAACAATAATGTTTAAATATATTTTTTGAAAATAAAAAAATAATAATAATTAATATTTCACATTTAAGAAACATTAAATAAATATAAAATATTTAAAAACATAAAATCATAATATAAAAAACACACACTAATAAACAATTCATTTATCAAAAGAGAACAAATAATTTATAAAAATTATAAAAATTTTCAATATATAATATTAAGATTTTAATCTTTATTATTTTATAATTTATAATACTATATTAAATACTAAAATAACAAAATATATAAATTATATCATTAATAATTAATAGATAGACCAAAAAAAGATTTTATGATTAATGGGAAAAATAATAAAATAAAAAAAAACAAAAAAAAAATATTAATTATAAAAAAAATTTTAGACATTATTTGTGAAAAAATAACAAATATAGATAATGTCATTATATAATATAAAAAAAACAAAAACTAAAAAAGAAAAAAATAAAATAAATAGAATATTTAATATTATTATTTAAATTAAATAATATATAAAATAATTAAAATACTTATAATACTTATAAAGAAGAAAAAAAAGTTAATAAAATTAAGAAAAAAATAAAATAAAATGAATAAATAAATATTTAAGAATTTGTAATATATTAAAGAAAAAATAAAAAATATATATAAAACAAAATAATAATATCAATAAAATATTAAAATATTAAAAAAAAGATTTTATAAATATTTAAAAATATTAAAAATAATATTTATAACTATTATTAAAAAAAAAAAATTATAAACAAGATAAATATATTTAATATATTTATTATAATAATAATAAAAAAAATATTGAAATATTTAATATATATTTTATATATTAATAAAAAAATGCAAAATTAAAAAATATTTCTAATATAAAAATAAAAATATAAAATAATAATTTAAATATTCAATAATATACAAATATTTATTGTTTCAATAAATATTAAATCTATTAAAATAATTTAAATTATTTATATCATTATTTTTTATGTATATATTAATATTTTTTAATAAAAATTTATGTAATTTATATATTAAATTAAAATAAGAGTATATATTTATAATAAATTATAAGCATATGATATATCTATAAATAAATCTATTTATTATTATATTAATATATATTTATTTTTAATATTTTTACATATTTTTAATAATTTACAATAGACACAATTCAATATAAAATATTAATTAATTATTTAATAATAATTAATTGAAATTTTTATTATAATTAGATAGTTTAAAAATGGCTTTATTAAATATATATAAATAAAAAAAAAAAAATAAGTTAAAAAATAAAATAAATTATATATGTAAATATATTTATAAATGGATATATATTTATATTTATATACATATACATATATATTAAATTTATAAATATTAAAATAAATAATTATTTAAACCTTTTTATTATGCTTAATATATGACTTATCTAACAATTTTTAATATAATAAAATTATTAATTATGTTTTAAAATAAAGTAAATAAATATATTACGAAAAGAAATAGTATATTACAAAAAAAAATTAAGATTAATATTTATTTTTATATTAATTTAAGATGCCAAAGTTAGCGAACTATGAGAAGATATAAAATATATATCTTAATAAAGAAATAAAAAAAAATTGTTATAATATGCCTTTGTATTAAATATATTATAAATGAATAATAAATAAATAAAGATATATTATTTAAAATATTTAATTTTCTTTTTTAATTAAATAAGTATTAAAGACTGTTCAAATAAAAAGTTTTAATTATTAATATTTTATATTTATTAGAAAATTTAGATTTAAATAAATATATAATTATTTTATATTAATTAAAAATATTCATTATATTATATTTTTTTTTTCTATTATTTATTTAAATTATCTTTATATATTATATTTAAATCTTTTTTTTAATATTTTTTAATATCTTATTACTTTGAATAATATAAAAATTATCTATCTAATTATCTATTTATAAATATGATTATATGTAATAATATTATATAAGAAAAATATCTTAAAAAACAAAACATTTATTTTTTTGATATTATAATAATTATTATATTCAGGATATATCATTTCTCAAAAACATTTCAATAGAAATATAAATAAATTTTACAAATATAGTCTCTAATTATAATTTTCTCCTTTAAAATATTAAAATAATTCTTAAATCAATAATATAAAGTTAGTATTTTTCATTTATTATGTATGAATAATAATATATATATATTTAATATTTTCAATAGAAAATATATGAAAAAAATCTAAGATAATCTAAGATGTAAAAATTCACAATATTTTTTTCAAGCCATATACTATTTTCAATATTATAGTTTTTATAAATTTATAAAAATCTTTATATTTACAATATTCAATATGATTATTATAATTTTTGTACTTAATAAAATGATTTATATATTTTACTTAAATATATATATTTCATCATCTAATACATATTTAATAATTTTAAATATTATAATATTTATTTTAATGTAATTTTTACTTAAACTGATATTTTACTATTTAAACTTAACTATAATATCTATCTCTAATTTTTTCTTTTATATTGAATTTTGATACCAAATCCATTTTTATTTTAACCTTTTTTATTTTTGTTATAAAAAAAAAGTATGTTAAAACTTAAATATTTTATATTAGTTTTTAGAAATATTAGAAAAGCTAAATTAATTTATTTATAATTGAATAAAAAAAAAAACACATATAAAAATAAAAAAATATAGGAAAAATATATATATATATATATAATAGTAAAATATATATTTTAGTTAAACCAAAAAAAAAAAATTAAAAAAAAAATTCAAGTATAATAAATAATATTAATATAATAAAAAGCTCTCAAATATTTAAATTTTCACTTTTTTTATCTTTTTTTTGTAATTGTTCAAGATCAAATTTAATTAACTCTTAAAGTTTCAAATTTTATTAATTAAAATTTCTTACATCCTCAGCCTAAGCTGCCTCAATTAAATATCCTATTAAAAATTTTAATTCGACATCGTTTTTATCATTAAGCCATTCTAAAATAGGAATTCCATTATCAATTTATAGTCCAAAAGAATGTGCAAGATTATCTACAATAACTGCTTTTTACAAATCTATATCTTTTATAATCCTCAAATCTTTAATAAAAAACCCATTCTTAGTTTCCATACAATTCTATCTTGTTAAAACTTAATGAATATATTCTTATTAACTATCTAAATAGTTAACAATTGCATTAGCATAAGAAGCTGAAGAAGCCGTAAAAACATAAATATCCCAATATTTGGAAACTTATTATAAAAACTCTATACAATATGGTCTTATTCTAAATGCAATTTAAAATTATTTCTTTTTATTTTGTAATATAAAAAATATATATATAAATTACATATTTTTAATTAAATTAATTAAAATTAAATATATATTATTTTATTTATAAAAATTACTTAACTATTATATTCTTCTTAAGCCATTATTACTGCATCTGGATTTTCATTCAATCCACAACTATGTATTAATGTTTCATCTAAATCTAAGAGTAAGATATTACCAGTTGAATCTTTTATATATATGTAATAATTTTTTATTTTTTTTAAATATATAATTTTTTTTTTTTTTTTTCTTATAAAATAATATACTCTTAGGTTTTTTAATTTATATAGATTTATTTTTAATATATTTTTCCGATGGTCCTCTTAAACATTTACTTGAATAAATTAAACCTCTTTAAGTTAATAATAAAAATTTATTAAAAGTAACTATTTTTTATATAGGTAAAGTATATAAAAATATTAACAAAAAAATACTAAAATCAATATTAGGATTAAGTACTATATGTCTAAAGGGATGACTTTAAAAACTATCATATGCTTCAATTTTTTTAATTACTTAATATGCATAATTATCTGAATTAAAGTCATTAATTTATTATATACTTGATTCTATTTTTACTTCTTTATTTTAAGAAACTGAATTCTATATATTATTAATCATTTTTAAATCTATTCATTATTATTATTTATTTTTTAGTTTTATATGAAAGATTATTTTTTTTTATTTTTACTTATCTAAGCAAAATTTATATTTTTATTTTCACTTTCTTATTCAATTTAATTAAAAAATTAATTATTATTATATTCTTTTATATTATTAAATTAATTATAAGCCGGAAAATGACAAATGTTGTGCATTTTTTATTAACTTTATTTCTATTTTTTTTGTTTTTTTTTTTTTTATATACTTATTTATTTTAAATTATTATTATTTTATTTATTTATTAAATTTTTCATATTTATCCAGTAATTAAACATTTGTGTATCAAAAAAAATTATTATTAAATATTTAATTAAACTATTTATTTATATGTAAATAAAAATTTAAAATATCAAGTCTGAGTTTAAATTTAAAATATAATAATAAAAAAATTTAAACTGTTATTGATTTCATCAAAATTGAAAATTAAAATTTTATTTTAAAAATAAAATATATATTATTAAAATAAAAAATTAATTTTTTTATATTATTTTAATATATATGTTTTTATTATTAAAAATCTAATTTTTATAATTTGAAAATAATATTTTCTTTAATAATTATTATTTCTTTTAGAATGTTAATCATAAATATTTAAAATAGTTATTAAAAATCGGAAATAAAATAATAAATATATTTCGTAAAATGTTAATAATAAAAAAAAAATTACATCTATAATAAGAAATTATTTTTAAAAGTCTAATTTTATCTTATTAAAATTAATAATTAAATAAAATAAAATTATTTTATTTTATTTTTTTCTTGAAAAGAAAAAGAGATTTTTTCTTTTTACTAAAAATAATAATAAATTTATATGTCATAAAATAAAAAATAATTTTATATAAAAATATATATATATATATAATTATTTGTTTCTTAAATAATAAATTTAAAAAATGAATCAAATTTTAGAAAATAATAAAAATTTTCTATTCTATATTATTAAAAACATTAATATTTTAATGTTAAGAATTTCAATTTATATTAGAATTCTTGTTTTAATTATTTTGATATAAAAATATATATATAATTTTATTTGTTAAATATAGATTAATTGAATTTAAATAAGAATAAGTTTCTAGTCTTTTATATTTTAAAAATAAATTTCTATTTTATTTAATATAGAAAAATAAAATAAAACTAAATTAATTTATTAAAATAATAATTAAAAAATATAAATATTTTATGAATATTAATGTATTATTTATTTTAAAAGATTTAATAATAAATAAAATTTTCCAATTAATATATATATAAATATATATTTTAAATAATATAATAATATTAAAAAATAAATATAAAATTTTATATATAATAACAAAATTATAAATAGATATATAAATTATTATATATTTTATATTATTTGAGTCAATCTTTTTAATTATTTTGAAAGATTTTTTTATTTATATTTTATAATTTTTATTTAATAAATTGCTTCTATTGTTTTAATGTAACATTTAAGGCAATTAAAATTAACATTAATTTAAATAATTATAGTAAGAAATATAAACTTTAATTTATCTATATATTTAATTTTTAAATCTTATAATTTATCAATTTATTTATTAATTTTTCATATTAATAAATAATATCAATATTATTTAATTATTTAATAATACGTAAAATAATTTAAAACAAAATAGATATTTAAGTATTTTATTTATATTTAAAAATTTATAATTTTTTTTTATTATAATCAAAATCATGAAAAACATGATTTTATAAATAATAAAAAATATTAATTTAAATAAAGATATATTATATTTAATAATAAAGAAAATAAAAAATTAAACTAATGAATGATTTTATATAAAATTAAGGTAAAAAAATATATAGTTTTAATATTATATTTATTTTAATTTTAAAATATTTATTATATTGAAATAAATTAATACTTAACAATTATTTTAATAAATTAATATATTAAATATATTATATAAATTATTTGTACAATAATGTTTAAATATAATTAATTAAATTGTATTAATAATTTTAAATTTAAATTATTATATTTTAAAAATAATCAATATTATTCTTAGATTTATTATAATAATAATAATTGTTATTATTATTATTTATATTAACATTATTATTATTATAATTATTATTGTTATTATTATTATTTTTATTATTACTATTATTATTAATATTATTATTATTATTATTATTATTTTTATTATTATTATCATTATTATCTTTTTTATAATTTTTTATATAATATTTTTTTTATATTTTAATTTAATTTACAAAATTAATATAATATAAATATTAATTATGAAAATTGTTTAATTAGAATTTAGTAATTTTATAAATTATATATATTAAAATTAATATATTGATTTTCTATAATTTATTATTTAAATTCTATTATAATTATAATATATTATTAAGTTTTCTTTTTATTTACTATATAATCTATGATTATCTTTAATTTTTTCTTATATTTTTTTAATAATTTTTATTTATTTTTATATTTTAGTATTTTTAGTTGATATAAAATAATTTTTATATTAAATTATTTTTTATATATATATATATATATATTTATTTTCTTTTAATATTCAATTTTTATTAAAATTTTTTTTTTCTTTTTATTTTAAATAATGACTTTTTATTTAATACTTAATTGAAATTTTTAATAAAAAACAGATTTAAAACTTTAAAATATTAGTATACAATAAATAAAGCTAATAAATTTTACAATTTTAAAATAATTTGATAATTTTTAAATTAAGTTTATATAATATTTTTCATTTTAAATATATAAATTTATTTATTATCAAAAAGTCATCAATAATATATATAATATCAAACAAACAAAAATAATTTATTTATATATTTTAAATATTATTATATAATTTAATTAAAAAATAATAAATAATTAATTATAAATATAAAAATATATAATTTATTTTTCAAGCAACAGGTTTTATTTATGACTAGAGTATTTTAAATTGACTTTTTCTTTAATTAATTTCATTTATGTTTTATAAATTGTTATATCCGATTTCATTCTTTTTTAAAATACAAAAATGAATAAATAATAAAAATTAAATATACAAAAATTTAATATTAAATAATATAAACTTATATGAATAATTTTATTTAAATAAAACAATAATAAATAAATATATATATATATTAATATATTTTAATTTCATAACTATTATTTTAAATATTATTAAAATATATATTAAATATAAATATTAATATATTAATATATTTATTATATACTTTTATATATAAGAGTATGCTTCTTAATATTTTTTAAAACTCTCATTTATTTTATATTTTTATTTATTTTTATATTTTTACCATTTATTTAACAGCATTAAATCTTGAAAATTCTCTATATTTTAAATATTCACTTTATCCGAAAAATTCATCTATAAGTCTTCCATTTTCTCTTTATGGATGATCTTCATATTTTTAATATATATCATAGAAAGTTTTTTATGCTAAATATTATAATCTTTTTGAAAATTCTTAAAAATCATCATATTCCTTTAAATAAAATTAATTATTTTTTTATAAAAAAAAAAAATACTTCGCTATCTTCAGGATGTGGAGCATCATATACAGGACAAGTCATATGAACATAAGTAAATTAACTAAGCTTAAAAAAATTAATATATATATATATAATAAAATATATTTTTCTATACAAAAGTAGGTGTAATAACTCCAATTTTATGAAATTAAACATAATATTTATCTAAATAATTAAATGCTATTATAGTCAAAATAGATTTATAAATAACTCTTATATTAAATAATTAATCTTAATATTTTTATCTAAAAATTTATGGGTTTTTCATATAAAACTATTAAGTGGATTTAGGATAATATTTATGAATTTTTTAAAAAAATTAAAAATAT